TCCGTGCTTTAGTCAATACTGCTCCACAACCCACACAAACCTGGAGGTCTTCGCTTCCAGAGCCACAACCAGACCTATTGAGATGTGAGGGCTGCTCTGTGGGGCCAGTAACTGCATGGGGTCCACAAACCTTAGAGACAAACAGACTTCCAAGGCTTTCATGGGAACTTATGCTTAAAGAGCAAGGAAAGGTTGATCTTCTGCAAGGTCAAAGCAAAGGGTTGTCCTCTGACCACATCATTCAGTGGTATCTGCAAGACTTGGATCATCTTGGGTTCAGTGTCAGGTTGGACACAGGGGCTTGGAGCAAGCTGCTCCAGTGGAAGGGGTCCCTGCCTGTGCAGGGTTGGAGCTGGAGGAGCTTTAAGGTCCCTTCCAACCCAAACCAGGCTGGGGTTCTGTGATCTCTGACTCTACAAACACAGGGTAACAGATGAAGCCTGTGCAATGTGGGGGTGCTTTTCCAGACACAGGGAAGCAATGTGTGCCAGGCAGCCAGGACAGGACTATTTCAGGCTGTGCTCAGTTACCAGAGATGCCCTTTGCCTGTTCAGTACATTCAGTTTCCTTCCATCATCTCCCATTTGGTTTTTCACTTGGCAGATGAATTTACCTAAAGTGACACTTCTCTCTGCTAAATACACAGTACTGGGAGCTAATGGAGTGATTTACATTGTGGAGCATAGAAACTTGCTTTATCCCTGTCTCGGGTGGAAAGGCAGTAAGTAGGGGCTGAAACACTGTTGTATTCCAGTATCAAAACCTGCTTCCTAATACTTACCTAGCCCTGTGCTGTACGCAGCATCTGCCACATGGAGAAAGAGGGATGGTGAATTGCTTTGCTCAGACTCAAACCCAGAGCCTGCAAAGCCCAGGCTGAGCTAATGGGGGTACAGAGGTAAGGATGGAGGCTGAGGAAGCAGTCACCTTTGGAGGTGCAAGGGCTTTGCAGGTCCAGCCTTGCTCACTGGAAGTGCTGCACCCAGCTTAATCCCTGCCTGGAAAGCAGGCTGTGAGGGCAGGGTGAATCAGCAGCGTGGATGCTGAGGAGCTCATGGTGCTCAGAGGGACTCTTGTTGGACCGTGTTTTAGGGAGCACAATGTATGAGCTGGTTTACAGATAGCTGGGATCAGCTCCATTATGGCTCCAGACACCCGAGAGCATCCTCTGAGCTGGCCCAGAGAGCCCCATGGCCCCACGCTGCAGCCCAGCACTCACTTCACAGCCCTCAGCTGCTTCTGCACCCCCTCAGCAAAGAAATGGTGATCTGCATGATGCGACCACAAACAGGGTGCTTGCACAGCAATACTGCCAGTGCGGTAACACACAGCCCTCTTACACAGTGTGCGATACTGAAATGAGAGCATCCTCCTCCAGCAACCGAGGCACTAAAAGCACCGCTTTGCACCCAGTTTGTTGCTGACATCCCAGACTGGTTTGGGTTGGAAGGGACCTCAAAGCTCCTCCAGCTCCAACCCCTGCCACGGGCAGGGACCCCTTCCACTGGAGCAGCTTGCTCCAAGCCCCTGTGTCCAACCTGGCCTTGAGCACTGCCAGGGATGGGGCAGCCACAGCTTCTCTGGGCACCCTGTGCCAGCGCCTCAGCACCCTCACAGGGAAGAGCTTCTGCCTAAGAGCTCAGCTCAGTCTCCCCTCGGGCAGGTTCAAGCCATTCCCCTTGCCCTGTCCCTACAGGCCCTTGTCCCAAGCCCCTCTCCAGCTTTCCTGCAGCCCCTTTGGGCACTGGAGCTGCTCTAAGGTCTCCCCCCATGAATCACTTCTGAGATTCTGGATGTAAAGATAAGGAGTTCGGACCTGTGCAAACATCACTGCTGCTTCTGCCCTTTGCAGCACTGCAGAACCCCCCTTCAGTTCAAACCACTGCAAACTCACCAGTGCTGACACGCTGTGGGCAGATCTCAGCCTCGCTGTGTGCCTCTGAGCCCCTCACACAGACAGGAGCAGCTCCTGCATGCCAGAGCCTGCCAGAAGAGAGGCTGAGAAACCACAGGATAGCCATAAATACCAATGGAGGTGAATGTTCCATCCCTGGTGGTGTTCAAGGCCAGGTTGGACAGAGCCTTGGGTGCCATGGTTTAGTGTGAGGTGTCCCTGTCTATGGCAGGGGGTTGGAACTGCATGACCTTAAGGTCCTTTCCAACCCAAACCATTCTATGGTTCTATGAAATCAATCACCACCTTAACAGAAATGGAATTAAAGTGTTCTTTAACATCAAGAGAACGTCTCTTGTTTGTCACTGCAGCCTGGGACTATTTTTAACGCTAGCAACAAGTGACTAAAGTCGGGTGGAGCAGCTCAGCCAGCCCCATTGCTCCCAGCCACCCACCAGGTTTATCTGACCATCAGAGGAGGAGCTGGACCAGGGCCATCCCACGTGAGAAGACAAAGCAAGGTGCCTGCAAACGTGACCCAGCTGTGTTCCTGGGCTACGCATGGTGAAGACATGTGCAACAGTTCCTGTGGCTTACTCAAACAAGCCCCAGCCTCCTCACAGGAAAGGCATGTGAAGCCCTGGAGGGGTTTAATCCGTGTTCATCTCTGAACGGGGCTCATGGAGGACGCAGTTTGTATCTCATCTGCCCATCAGGAAAAGATAAGGGAAAACCCATCTCTGCAAAGAAGTCATTCCTGGACTAGAGCTTCAGAAGTGGTACCCAATTAAGGCAAACAGTGATGAAGGCAATGGATGAAGGCAAACAGTGATGAAGGCAATGGATGAAGGCAAACAGTGATAAAGGCAATGGATGGAAGCAAACAGTGATTTCCCACAGTAGATTACCAGGAAATGTAATATCCCGACCACGTTTGTCCTTCCTGTCCTTTGGAGCTCTGCAGAGTGGTCGAGGAATCGGATGCTGCTCCAATGGGTACATCCTGCATCCCTTCTCCTCCCATCACCACCACGACTGCTGCATTCCGAGCAGGAACTGAAAATGAGCGTGGGAAGGACCAGCTGGCAGCTGCTGAGTGCAGCGTGCTGCCTGCCAAGTCCTTCTGAGCAGAGGAGCACAGGAACTGAATGGGAATGAAGACACCGGGAGCGTGACGGCAGTGCGGCAGCATCCATCGGGAACGCAGCGCTGGCCTGAGGGCAAAAAGAAACACTCCACTCCAGGCAAACAACGTGGGAGAGGAATCTGTATTTTACATATATATTATATACAGGCATATTTAAAGGCTTACTGCTGTAAGGAACTGCTGTGAAATGTCCAAACCTCTATTCACACTACCTTGTTAAAGGGAAATTGCCAACTCTGTTTATTGCAGAAGAGTCGGATGCCTACAAACACAGGCACGCTCTATGCATGTTGCTGCAGTGGTGTAAGAGAAAATGCTGGAGCAGCAAAGCCTCTGTCCTCAAGGTCCTCATTCTTCTATCAGCAAGCAGCCGGTGTCCAGCCTGGAGCAGAGCTCACAGAGCTGATGATGATGGGGACCAGGACAAGACACCAACCTTTGGGGGCTGCATGGGCACTTGCTGCCTTGCCTCAGCTCTGCTGCCCAGCTGGATGGTGAGGACGTGGCATTGCCAAACCCTGCAGGAATGGCTCAAAGCATTGCCATGATAAGGTAGAGTCACTGATGGTTTGTGTCCTTGCATTTAAAAACAAGGGGTTTCCCACCCTGTACTGTACAATTCCACTTGGCTGATTCACCAGAAACCCTGGCTCTGCCACCCCCAGTGTTCCCAGCGGTGACATGCACAGGACCAAACTGTTCCAAAAAGCACTGCATTTTAAGGAGATTTAAATCACAGAATCCCAGACTGGTTTGGGTTGTAAAGGACCTTAAAGCTCATCCAGTTCCAAACCCAACACCTTCCACTAGAGCAGGTTGCTCCAAGCCCTATCCAACCTGGCCTTGAACACTGCCAGGGAAGGACTTCTTCCTTATCTCCAACCTGAACTTCCTCTGTTTCAGTTTGAACCCATTATACCCTGTGTCCTATCGCTACAGCCCCTGATAGAGAGATCAGGGAGTTTTAGGTAGCGTTATATGGCTTTTCAGACCTTAGAGAGAAATGATTCAAACATTTTCCATTAAGAGAAATGGCAGAAGGAGACAAAATAACATTTCACTGGTTGGGAGCAATAACTTCACTGGAATTACAACACACGCTGATAAGACAGATATACAGAGTACAGCTTGGAAAGCTTTGCTTCTGCTCATTATATTACCACATAGCCTTAAAAATCAAGGGATGAAGTGATTTGGGCTGACAAAAGAAAGCTATTTGAAGAGATATTCCTAAACTTCAAAGAGAAGAATGGCATTTTTATGGAACTATTAAAAACAAGTGATTTGCTGGTGCTCACCCATAGGGAGACATGATGGTTAGTTTACCTGGTCTCGGTTTTGGTTAAAACAGTCCCCGTCGCACGTGGCCTCAGGTGGCTCTGGCTCATGTATCCACTTACCAGAAAGTGGGATTTAAACAATCCTTGCTTTTAAATCAGTACCAATAACACTGGAAGTTACCAAGCTCCAGTGATTTATAAACCTATGCAAGGTGCTATAACTGATGCAGACCAGTGGCAGCATGTAGTGTACCACACTTCTACACCAGGTAGACTTGTCCTCCCAAATCACAAGCCTAAGATCAAAAAGGTCGAATTTCCTGAAGCAACTGCATAGAGCTGGCACGATAAGTTTATCATGCTCCTTTAATGTCTATGTCTAGCATGCCCTATCATGCTTCTGTTAATGTCTAGCTAATGGAGAAGGAAAACTGAAACCCAAATCTTCATCCTTAGGATTTACAATAAAGGCTGAGTAGTCTCTTCAGTGCATACCTGATCATACACAAACCTGAACACCAGTCACAGGAGGTTTTCCTCCCAGCACCTTCAGCAGATGTAGTTGCCAAGGGCGAGCAGTGAAGTGAGGAGGGGATCTGAATGTGAAGGTTTAATGCACGGTCCATGGATGCCACTGCATGGAACCCACATTCAGCCCCTCTGAGGTCTGTGGATTGATTTTTGCTTGGTCAGAAGCTCTTAGGCCTGCAGACAGGTTGGGAAAATAGAGCATCCCCCCCTCCAGCTTTTGCTCAAGGGTATTTTAATTGCACCTAATGAGGATTGAGATTTCCTCCCAGGTTTAGTGTTAAATCACTGTTTTCTAGAGGATACATTAAAAGAAGGCAAAACAGAGCCTTTGGGCATATACACATTATATAGTTTCTGAAGAATGCCCCAGTGAATTGCAAGTATGGTTACAAATCAGTGTACTTCCAAACCATAAGCATGACCCGTGGTTGTCTTGAAGTCTCTTGCCCCTGGCCTTTTAAACAATATGGAGGTATCAAATCAAGCCGAGAACCTGCAGCACTGAATTTATGCCAAATTCATCTGCATATTCATATATATATATATATGTCATGTTCATCTGCATATGCAAATTCAAACTGCATCCCTGCACTTACCAGTTAGCAACTGCATTGATAAGAACTGTGATTCTTATCAAGAGATGATAAATGAATACATGGATTAAAAAGTGCTAAGAGTCTTTTCAAGAGGGCTACATGAGAAGCCTTCAGTAGACAATATTTCTTCATAACAAAGAGTCAGGTTTAATCCCACAGCTATTAGAAATTATTCACTGTATAGAAAAGGTTGATTCTTCACTCCCCAAATAGTAAATAGCAGTTGTATCCTTCCAACAGAGAGAGCACGGGATAGCTGCAGTTCCCTTCTTGGTTCACAGTTGCAAATAGAGTTCACAGCAAGAGCTTCCTCATTGAGAATGAAGGAGAACCCTCCGGTGGCTAGAAGTACAAATCTCTTCTTCTGTCATGGATCTGAAGGCCTGAAAGACACAGCGGGATCAGGGCGGTCAAACACAGGCCATGCAAACAGGATCACACCTTTGGGTCTGATGCAAGGTGGCCTCTAGGAGAACAACCAGAATGAGCCCTGCAAAGCACTCCCTGGATATTGCACAGCAAGGACCCAACACCAGGTATAACAGTGCTCAGTTTATCCAGGACACACGGTCTGAACAGAGAAATACACGGAATTCTGAATGCTTTGGAAGTCGTTTCTTTGACCAGCTCCCCCAGCAGAGTGGTGGGTTTGCTGGTGAAAGCCACAGTAATGGGAGCACACAGGTCCAACGGGGACCTCAGCCTGAAACTGGGTGCTTGAGACGCACTGCAAGGGGTGTCCTGTCTTTCTGGGACCTGAAACTGGGACAGCCGGTGTAAAACAGGCATTGTGAAGAGGAATATTTGGCAGAACCACAAGAACAGCAGTGGGGGGGGGTTAGAAATCATAGGATCGTAGAATAGTCAGGGTTGGAAAGGACCTTAAGATCATCAAGTTCCACCCCCCTGCCATGGGCAGGGACACCTCGCTCTAAACCATATCACCCAAGGCCTCATCCAACCTGGCCTTGAACACTGCCAGGGATGGAGCATTCACAACCTCCCTGGGCAACCCATTCCAGTGCCTCAGCACCCTCACAGGAAAGAATTTCCTCCTTATATCCAATCTAAACTTCCCCTCTTTAAGTTTTAACCCATTACCCCTTGTCCTGTCACTGCAGTCCCTAATGAAGAGTCCATCCCCAGCATCCCTATAGGCCCCCTTCAGATACTGGAAGGCTGCTATGAGGTCTTATTCAACAGAATGCTTTTCCTTTTCACTGTTAACAGTTATAGGAGGTGGTTTGTCTACCTGGGGGAAAACAAGGTTTGGAAATAGAGCCTGGAAGCAAGGAAGGAAGCATCTTTAATTCTTCATGCATAAGCAAGGCATCCTTCATAGGCGAGCACCGGTTTGTTCCAGCGCTGCTGGCTCCAGTACTCACCTGCGGTGGAGTGGCTTCCGCTGGGATTCTCTGAGCCTTGGTAAGCGCTTGCTTTCCTCTCTTAAAAGACAGAAAACACTGGAGATGAGCAGCGATTCAGCACAGAGATAGCAGCAGACAGCAGGTCCTAAGGCAACCCTGTGCTTTTGCAGCCCAGCCTATAGCGCAGGTGCTGGGGAACTCTGTGCTGGCTGGCACAGCGATCCACACTCCCATAAATATAAATATCAGCTGTTCTTATACATGACAGAGCGCAAGGAGAAGTGCATTGAACAGGGAGAGCCAAGAAACAGGGACTCCCACAGCCTGACAAATGCACAGATCCCAGGGGCTTGCCAAAGCCTGCCTGTGAACACGGACAGCTGTTTCCTATCTGTTCCTTTGGGGATGCTGGAGAAGCACATGTGTGCTGTTACACATGGAGCCCTGCGAGGCTCCTTCACTGGTCAGAAAGGCTCTGGAAGCATCCTGAAGGAAAAGGCTTTAACTGATGAGTGTGAGGCCTCCCTGCCCATGGTAGGAGGTGGAAGTGGATGATCTTAAGGTCCTTTCCAGCCCAAACCATTCCATGGTTCTGCGATGGCTGGGGGACATCAAGCTGTTTCATTTCCTTTTCCATGAACAGAGTCCCCTGTTAGCATTGCTTCCCTTTTTGATCCCAACACTGGCTTCATGAAACATGTCCTTCTTTGGAGGAGAGTTTGGTCCTTGGGCTCCCAAGCCTTAACAGGCTCACATTGCCCCCCTGGGGGAAGAGGGCACCTAACCCTGTTCTTAAATTAAACCCTAGACATCCAAACAGTGTCTTTAAAGTAACTGGGCTGTCATTTACCAGCTGCAAAAAGCCTATGCAACACATAGATCCAGCCTCAGCTAAACCCATGTACCACGAGCAGCAAATGTGTATTCCAGACAGACACCAGGCACTCCAGATGAGCAGAACACCCATAGCTGGGGTCCTTGTAACGCCAGGGCTTTGGGGTAGCCTCAGAAGAGAACCTGTGGGTAAGCCTGCCTGCAGGTAGAAACAACAGCTTTTAGCCCATGCTCTGCCAAATCCCTGCTGATGCAGATCAGAAACAGGGCAAGCAGCAGGCATTTCAGACACTAAGGCTTGGGGTTGCTTCCTCACATGCTTGCTCCTCTCCAGGTAGAAGCACCAGGCAGGACACGCTCTGTTTTCCCAGCAGACTCCCTAAACCATTTCACAACACTTTTTCTTGGAAGCCCGTGCCAAGCTATGTGTATGGGTAACGCCCAGGAGCAGCAAGGCGGGCCCACCCTAACAGGGCTCCAGGAAGCTCGATCCCAAAGGGCTTCTCAGAGGCAGAAATTACTCACAGCAGAGCAATTTTATCCATCAGAGCAGCCTGCAGGGATGTAAGATCCCAGGAAATGGGCTGCAGGCACCGGCCATCTTTCTTCTGTGTGCTGGTAGTACCTGGGATTGGGGCTCCTGCTCGTTGTTGGTAATAAATAAGGAACATTCATCACCTCTGCGTGCATTGTGTTAGCTCTGGGAGATCTACTGCAGTGCTCCATGGCAGGCAGCAACTAGCTGGGAAACATGGCAAGGCCAACCAGGAAGCCCCTTTATCCCAGTCATAGAATCATGGAATGGTTTGTGTTGGAAGGGACCTCAAAGCTCCTCCAGTTCCAACCCCTTCCACTGGAGCAGCTTCCTCCAAGCCCCTGTGTCCAACCTGGCCTTGAGCACTGCCAGGGATGGGGCAGCCACAGCTTCTCTGGGCACCCTGTGCCAGCGCCTCAGCACCCTCACAGGGAAGAGCTTCTGCCTTATCTCCAACCTGAACTCCCCCTGTTTCAGTGTGAACCCATCACCCCTTGTCCTGTCGCTACAGTCCCTGATGAGTTCCTCTCCAGCATCCAAAATCCTCCCAGCTACAAACCCTACACAGTAAAGTAGGCTGCTGTGGGCTCTTACCTGACCACCCCCTCCCTGATCCTCATAGCACTGTGAATAATGTTTATATTCACTTAAAATAGCTCCTTAATGTAAGCCAGGAGGGAGGATATTGTGCAAGTGGGCAATGCACAGTTTCTGACCAAGCCACACTATGGAGCTCATCCATCCCAAGTACCACAGCACACATCCTGGCCTATCTATTGCAAAACACTGCTGCGAGCTGGGCTGAAGGTGACTCCAGTTTTAGAACCTGAGGAACAGCAGCCTGTATCATTTTGCCTCCTTCCATAAGATGCCATCAAAGCACACAGTGATAGTATTTCCTTACCTCCCCCAGGAGCTGAACTTTGGCTTATATTTTGTAACCTAGCAGGTCCAGTCATACAAGCAGAACTTGAGTGTTGCTTCATGGGACATTCCTGCATGGATGTTAGGCACTTTTCCTGTTGCAGAAGACCAAGAAGAGAACCGTATTTCCTGTCAGAGATGGGCTCATCTCCCACATGCAGGTCAGGCAAGGCATGATGATGATACACCGAACTGGGGAGACTGGGAGTCCCAATGGAAGGGAAAGGCCATAAGTCTGCAGGTTGGGCTGGATGACTCCTCAGAGCTGGTGGCTGGTACTGGCCTGCCAGACCAGCAGCAGCAGCAAAATTCAGACCCGAATTGGACACGCTTGGTGCAGAAGATGATGGATATGCTTTGGAGCAATGTGAAGAGAAATTCCACTGATGGGGCGATGCGCTATCTACTTAAAAGAGAAAGAAAGCATCTGAAGTCTCAGCAATTCTTACTTTTCTCCCAAGGCAAATTCCAATGGCCTTCTAAAGGAACACAGCCAAACTGCATATTCATTTCACATAAATATATATTCTCCATAGTGCTGCTTGTCTTCAAATACAACCACAAACTCATGCTAAAAGCAGACTAAACCACCACTAGTACTTTCAAATGACTATTTCCTGTGTTTTCTTACAGGCCATGGGCATAGGCAGCTTTTTAACTGTTGCAAGATTATCTGTTGCCATGATCTGTTTATTTAAAGTCATAATGCACTTAGTGCATCTGACAGTGATGGAGACACTAGGCTGGAAAATGAGGACCCAGTCCTGCCAACAGGCCCACGGACAGCCTGGGAAGCACCCCAGAATGCACAGGGATTTACTCAGGAAGTCCCAGCTTTATCATCCAGGGCTTTGCAAGCTTTTCTTGCTTTCTGTTTGCACATGGTCCCAAATGTGAGCACAGTACATCCTAAACTCTCAGTGAAAGACAGTCCCCCCCTGCCCAACACCACACTCAGGCATAGAAAGGAGCTCACCGTTCTTCAGGACAACGGTCTCGTCCTTGTGCTTTGTGCTCAGGTCTTGGGGGTTCTTGGCATTGCTTAGAGCTCTGGAAAAGTGTTCATCCACCACGCTGTTAATATCCCCTTGGAAATAGGTAAATACAACGCTCTGAGCGCCCCATTCTGTTTTCACAGGTTCTTTGCTTTTACACGGCTTTGGAGAGAGCTCCCTTGTTTCTTCCATTTTCAATCACCACCAGCCCCTGCCAAGGAAAACCAGAGCAGTCAAAGACATCCTGTTCAGCTTAAAGTGCACCGTCAGCGGTGAGCCCATCTTCCTCTTGAAACTCGTAGGGCCAGCCCAACTGTTACTAGTAAGATGAGATTCTTTATCTGGGTTTCTGCTTATTCCACACACCTTTTCTTCACTGATCTCCTTGTTATACACTTCTCATAATCGAATACTTGCAGTATAAAACAAAAGGAGAAACCTTTCAATAAAAATGTACTAAATTTCACAGAATTGTGATGGGATTGCATTTTTCCCAATCAAAACGAGTCCGGTCAGTCTTTAACTTGTTCAATACTGGATCTTTTGGTGGAGAGATCCAAGTTTGATATGACTGTACAATATGCAATGTTAGTAAAGGATACTGCGTCTTGAAAGCACTGAATGGCTCAGAGATGCAAAGAGCCTGATGGATTCCACCCTTGTCTGAGTTACCTGTCAGTGCTATAGCATTGGCTCTATTGAGGAATGAAATGCTGTCATTTCTCACTCTGCCCTTATAGCCCTAGCACTGTGCAAATATGTTCTGAGGGTGGAACTGTGCTGAAAGAACTGAAGCACTTAGACAAATAATTCAGAGGTTGCACTGGTCCTGGATGTTCAGGGTGAACCTATAGAATCACAGAATGGTTTGGCTTGGAAAGGACCTTAGGATCATCCGGTTCCAAGCCCCTGCAACGGGCAGGGACACCTCACACTGGAGCAGCTTGCTCCAAGCCCCTGTGTCCAACCTGGCCTTGAGCACTGCCAGGGATGGGGCAGCCACAGCTTCTCTGGGCACCCTGTGCCAGCGCCTCAGCACCTTCACAGGGAAGAGCTTCTGCCTTAGATTGAACCTGAACTTTGCTTATTTCGGTTTGAACCCATCACCCCTTGTCCTATCACTGCAATCCCTGATGAAGATTCCCCCTTCAGGAGAATTCCTTCCTCCGGGATCCCTCCCTGGGAGGATTCCTTTGTCCAACTCCTGCCTCTGCATTGTCCAAAAACCATACTGACGGAGTGAAATGGAACATTAAATACCCATTAGAGCTTCAAATAGCAATCTCTAAGGAGTATTTTATTTAGACAAAGTTCAAAGTACCTTGAGCACTGTCAGCACAGACTTCCACAGTGAGATGTCTGACAGTAGTTGCTTCACCTATTAGAAAAAGGCAGAAATCACGATTGGAAATTCAAATTATAGCAAATTCAAGTTAAAAAAGCCCCAAACAAACCAAACAAAACCTCTTGTTCGTTTGAAACAACTTGCTGAGGAACACGTAGGGCCTGTCAGTTGCTTAAAACTTTGGTAGCAAGACTGCTAAATCACCCACCAAGGCTGGTGGAACATACCCTGTAGCTCAACCAGGGCTTATGGATTATGGATTTAAGGCAAGAATGATTCTAAAATAGTTTGCAGGAAGCCAGCCTAAGACTCTAAGACTCCTTCTTGTCCTCCTTATGAAATCTCTGCTGCCAGATAGGGTGAGAGCAGGGTAAGGAGCATCACAGGATGGTTTATACGCATCTATGAGGTTTCTGGCCATAGGGGAGTGAGTTCTACAGCCAGAGCTCAGGCATTCTGCTGTAATCAAGACCATGTGTAGCAGTGCTCAGGCTGGGAATGCAGGGAGGAGTGCCTGCTGTTTCCATGCCATTTTCCAGTCTCACTGTCAGCTCATCACACCACATAGCATAACTGCTTTACCTTGGTAGCGAGGAGGCTGCTATGCTTCAGAGAACTGGGAAACCTTTGGTCACTAGCCAGCTGTATCACACAAAAACTGATGAGTCATTGGAGCTGTGTTTCTATCCAACTGACCCTGCAATATGCAGCATTGCTTAACCTATTCCCATGCCTTTATCTGGTTTCTAATCATAACCCTCCCCCCCCCCAACCCCAAGCTTCCCAATCAACTTGCTCTCATCCCTGCCTCAAAGGGAACTCCGAAGTATTGCAAAGGGTGCCTCCAATGGTCTCTTAGCATTTCTTATGCACAAAAAGATTGTTCAGGCTGCAAAGCCAAGTACTCAGGCATTCAGAAATACGAGGATTGAGATTATCCAGCATAATCCATGTCCCTTTTTATGCTTCAGCCTTCATCTACAAACCTCTTGCTCATGTTTATCACTTGATTCTAGGTCTAGTTTTGCTTGCTACCTCTCCCCCCTTCATGGACCCTTCCTCAACTAGCACTAATCCCCTGTTATTAACCATCAGTTTCTGAGGAACTCAGTAGTCCCTCAATCCTCATTTTAGGATTTCTATTGCTTTACCCTTCTTGCATCCTTTCTCAGCTCCAGCCTCCAGTCCACTTAGGCACAGTGGTGGGGATGGGACACACACCGGTTTGTCACCAGTTAGAAATGCAAAGGGATGCTCTAACAGTTGCCTGATTGAGAAGACAATCTGTCAGAGCTTTAGAACTGATAAAGCTTTACCAACCAGAGAAAACTTCAACCAGAAACCCTTCGTCCTTCAGGCACCATCCCAAGGCCCATGACGGGAGCAGGAACTAGCATAACCCAGCCAAACACAGCTGGAAGAACGTCAAGCACAGGAAGAGAAACTCTTTTCCAGTCTTGTTTTAGAAAGCAAGCCACTGTTTAGGTTAAGAAACTCTCTGGTTGCTCAGCTGAAGGCCAGTAGTTGCCATTGTAAATTCTAACCCGAGCAGTAAAAGCTTGGCAAAGTTGTCAGGGACCATACAGCCTAAGAAACAGGACACGAGGCCATCTCAACAGCAAGGAGCAAACCTCTCTTCCTATGCTGCTCCACTGCTACACAGCAATATAACCTTTAGGAAGCATCAGCTGTGGCCCAGAGGTCTATTTTCCCTGTTCCTCACTCGGTGGAAGGCAGCTATTTGGTCTTTGTACCACTTTATTAACATACTTAACTTGCTTGTGGCATTAACTGTAAGCTGCTGTACTGCTGTTTATTGCTGTGTAGCAGCTGTGTGTGCGTTCCTCACCCTTGCTAGCAGTAGTAATTTCCCATCACTGTAGCATCAGACAGGGAACTCAGCTCCTTATTTCACACAGCCCAAAAGAGCTCTAAAACTGAATTACAGAACCCCAGACTGGTTTGGGTTGAAAGAACCTCAATGCTCCTCCAACTCCAACCCCCTGCCATGGGCAGGGACCCCTTCCACTGGAGCAGCTTGCTCCAAGCCCCTGTGTCCAACCTGGCCTTGAGCACTGCCAGGGATGGGCATATATAAAACACAGAAAGGTTCCACTTCCCGAGTATTGAGCAATCATTTAACAAACAGACATTCGCTTTCCTCAAGTATCATTTGAGAAAGTCAGTGAACACAAGCTGAAATGATCACTGGATTCTCCTACCTTAACTCACTGTCAGCAGCAGTGTCACACCAGTGATTTCCAGATGGGGGATGCTCATGCTGTGCCCAGCAGTTTGGGATCCTTCCCCCGGCAGGCTGAGTGCACTCTGCAGTGACTGCAAGAGGAGACAAGCAACGTTCATGAACTCCTCACATGCTTTCTAGCCTCTAGCTGCGAGCGAACTAGGCGTTTCCTTCAGCCCATCTGCTAAGAATGCATGAAATGCACTCCGACGAGTCAACCGGGTTAGGAGGTTTCAGGAATGAGGAAAACAGGACTGTAAGCAGGGGTTGTTTTTTATGACAATGTGTACACAATAAAGACAGTGTCTGGACTTCAGAAGAGTTTACACTAAGATGATAAGTTGTGGCAGAGAACCAACTTCGGCCGGGATAATAAAGGACTTGCCTGTGCCAGGTTACAGTATATTAACTACAAATGTCCGCAGGAAGGAAAAGATCACCTTGTCTCCATCCCTGGATATCCAAACCTCATCCTCTTCTTTGCTGGATCTGCTTAAATGACTTAGAAATCTTCAGAAAATAAAACCATCCTTCTTGTTCTGCAAGGGCTGTAGCAAGAAAGAGAGAGCTTGGGGATTTTCTGCTCTTTAACAAAGTAATCCAATTGCAACCATTCATGAAATCATGGAGTGGTTTGTGCTGGAAGGGACCTCAAAGCTCCTCCAGCTCCAACCCTGCCACAGGCAGGGACCCCTTCCACTGGAGCAGCTTGCTCCAACCCCTGTGTCCAACCTGGCCTTGAGCACTGCCAGGGATGGGGCAGCCACAGCTTCTCTGGGCACCCTGTGCCAGCGCCTCAGCACCCTCACAGGGAAGAGCTTCTGCCTAAGAGCTCATCTCAGTCTCCCCTCGGTCAGGTTCAAGCCATTCCCCTTGCCCTGTCCCTACAGGCCCTTGTCCCAAGCCCCTCTCCAGGTTTTTTGTCGGACCACTTAGGTCTTGGAAATGCTGAATCAGGGCCAAATTGGCCAGGCTCAGATGGAGAAATAAACCAGGGATTGCGAGGCACCAAACTGGTGGAAACATTTACACATCGATGTCTTTCATGCAGTAGCGTAAGAGCTTGTTTACTCACCCAGAAAGGAGAGCACAACCCTATTCCCTCTGCCTAAACACCCGCGAATCCACCCTCTGCCATCTCCCAGAGCAACTCAACCACAAGGCTGGAAGATATCCTGGGATGGTGCTTTTATTGACACACTCTTTGCATAAGCCCAGTTCCACTGTGAGACAGTGCCCTCGACATCTTCATCATTCACTCCTTGAGTGAACCTGTTCCACACAAGGTAAGGCATCAGTGTGTTGGATGGCTTGTAGGTGAACACCTCAAAGAACTACTGGGCAAAACCAGGATTATCAGCCCCGTTCCTTTGTAATACAGGAGCTAAACCAACTGATTTCCAGAGCTTTGTAAGCACTCTGTGTCCAGCCTGGGGGGGGAATACATTAAAATCCAAGTTCCTGAGAACAAAAAGGGAAATTTGGCTTGTTCTTAACAAAAATCACCCAAATTCCACAATACCACCTGTAACTATGGTGTCTGCAGGTGGTTCTTCTGCTCCTTTTATCTTCATTCAGGGTCCATTCACACACCCATCCAGATTAAGTCCAAGAAAAAAAGCCATACAGAGGGAACAAATAGCATGTCCCATCATAGAATCCCAGACTGGTTTGGGTTGGAAAGGACCTTAAAATCATCCTGTTCCAAACCCCTGCCATGGGCAGGGATGCCTCACACCAGACCACGTCGCCCAAGCCCCATCCAACCTGGCCTTGAACAGTGCCAGGGACGGAGCATTAACCACTTCTCAGGGCACCCTGTGCCAGCACCTCAGCATCCTCACAGTAAACAGCTTCTTCCTTATATCTTACCTGAACGACCCCTGTTTCAGCTTGAACCCATCACCCCTTGTTCTATCACTGTAGTCACTGATGAAGAGTCCCTCTCCAGCATCCTTGTAGGTCCCCTTCAGATACTGCTGTCATGAGCACTTACAATTCCAGCAACACACATTCTGGCCTCCAGTTGGGAAGCTCTGGCGTGTTAACACACAGACTTTAATAAACTGAAGTCACTGTGCACCAAATGCGATGGTACCTTTGACACAGGGAGAAAAGGCAAATGCATGACCTCCAAACTCATCAGAAAAGACTTGTTTTGTTCACGAGTTTGTTTATTAAAAAGGTAGTATAAAACACAACCCCTTTAAGAAACAAAATTGAAGACGAATGCAGGGATTCTCAGATGCTCTCACAGGTCAATATTACTCAAGGATGATTAAATGCTGGTTTTTCTAAAGGATAAATGAAAATGAGCCATTTATGGAAAGAAGAAAACCTGTCAGAAAAAATCCAAGTCAACTTCTTGTCAAGTTTAATCTAACAATAGGCTTCCATGTTACACAATGAGCAAAAAACCAACCTGATTTACTGCAAAAGAGTATGTAATCCTATAAACACAGAACTTCCAGAGTCTCCCGACAGGAAGACTTCAAGCCTTGTATAATGAGCACTAAAATACACACAAGTCCAATCAACACAAGCCCACAACGTCCAGAATTCACGTCTCATACTGCAGTATTGTTTCCTCATGTTCGGAAAGAAAAAGACTTTAAAATCCAAATGACACCTCTAGATATGGTGGGGTTTATTTAGAATTCACTTAGGTTACACAGGGCAAGAACTCAGGGCTTGAATATCCATTTTTCTGGAAAATTTAAAGGCAAGTATGGGTTTCTACGAAGCATCCAATACCTTTATGTTTCCTCAAGTGACTCAAGCTAAGGATTTGGAGTTGTAAATAGAGGTTAGGCTTAACTGGATAATGTCGAGGACATGTCTTAGCTAAAATGCACTGCATTTATCATGCCAAGGGTTTTAAGTGAATTGCAATCCTTATACAAAATGTAAGTTGTACGAGGGACTGAAATTCAATTAAAAAAAAAAAAAAGAAGTAATTCCAGAAGTCAGCAGGAGAAAAACAGATAAAACATTTTGATGCAAAATGAAACTAATTCTCCCTTTACAGCTGGATAGGAACATTCGAGAACCCGCTATAACTTATGTGCCCTCTTGCTTCCAGATGTCTGCCTTGGCCATGCTCTTCTCAATGCTCCTCTCGTCACTGTACAGTTCCCCCACCAGCAAACCACTAAACAGCACTGGGAAGCAACCTACTACTGTATGTTGAAGCTAAGCAACTTATTTTGTATGGCATGGTGAAGGAGTGATTATCTATGGTGAATGATGCTGAAGCATCAGTTAATACTTTCCCTGCTGTTATATTGAGGTGGCTTCACATCCCATTCTGTTACACTGTGTGAATTAGCAGGAACAGCTATTTCTGTAGTTCAAAACTGAGTAACACCAGTTGGGCCAAAGTGCTGCTAGTTACTGTTAGCAGGATATAGAGGGAAGGAGACAGCTTGCCTTAAAATGAACCTCTCACCATCATCC